TGAGCCCGCCTTTGATGCACCGGTGCTCATGACTAACGGCAATTTTACCAATAGTGAGAAGATTGGGGGAGCGGGTGTGGGGTATTTGAGAAGGGCTGTGTGCCCATTTGGTCACAGCACAGACCCTCGCCATTGGACACCAAACCGGTTGACATTGGGCGCTTGTAACAAAGCTGTTGACCATTGAACTGGGTTCCTGGCCCGCGTGGCTGAAGCCCAAGACCGTCCAGGTCGCTGCGCATCATGCGCTCGACTTTGGGAATGCGTTGAGGGCTGTGTTCTCGCGAGAAAGGCCAGGCCCTACACAGAATTCTGTGCGACGGGTAGCGCTGCACCTCGGGTGCTGAGCGCTTGTTTGTACTATATGTTGACAGTCGTTCTACGCTTCATGTGAGTGTGTGAAGCAGCCGTGAGCCTGAAAGAAGCTTGGCGAACATCATTGAGACGTTTCGGTGAGCATTGGAAACCGGAAGAGTCAAGCTTTTGGTAGTGCTGGCTGTGTGAGTTTTGCGAATTTTGTATCAACATTTTAGACGAGTCGGTAACCTTTGGACAATCCAAGGAGTGTTTCTGTGAGGCGGGGCAACGTGGGAATGTGTGCCGGAGAAAGCGCCTTCGTGGTAAAGTTCTGAGAAGCCTAAAAGAGAGGCAGGAAGTCGTCGAAGGGAGCTGTGAAGTACGTTGAAGGAGCTGAGCTGTATCAAAGGTGAAGCAAGATCAAGTGGCTGGAAACTCGAGTCAACAAGCAGTGGGTTGCTGCATTGAAGAGCCCTTGAAAACCAGGGTGTAGGAAGAGACTTCAGAAGATCAAGAGTAGGATGGAGCATTGGGTGCCTTGGAGGTGGAGAGTGTTGCAACGTGTTTTAGAGTGAGAACAAGTGGTGGGAACTGTGGATAGCACTGATCTATGCATTTGCGATTGTAGTGCTGGTGAACATGATTCTGCACACTTCTGCTATTTCTATTCGTGGTGCACGTTTGGTGCAAAGAATCGTTGCAAGTGCTTATCATAGTTAGCATCATTGATGCCGAGAGATAACCTCCCTTTGGCGAGGTTGGCAAGGGGAGGTTGCTGCCTTGAAGGGGCGCCTTACCTTTTTGTGGGAGTTGAGCGTGTACGGAGGGAGCATGCAGAGAGGGGAGAAAGTGTTGGTGCGTTCCCCAGAACTTGTTTTGGTTTGCATTCTGGCCCAATTCGTGGCACGGTTCAATACCAAGTGGCTTGTGCTCTTCTAGTTGGAATCTTTGTGGGTTGTTTCCTGTCCCTGAGTGCTCTCAGCTTTGGTCTTTGGATTGGTTCTCTCCTTTGAAGAGTGGGAGAGCAGGTGGCCGTGACTCAGCCGCTGCATAGTCAGCAGTCACACGCAATGGCCATGCAAGACCCTATCACAGCGTTGTGGCAAAATAGTGGGGCCCGCACTTTATTGCCTTCGATACGGGGACATGCTTGGCCGAATGTTCACTTTGCCAAGTTGTTCCTGGACCGACCTACCCCCCGCCCCATCAAGCCTTGAACTCGTTTCATCAAAACTTCCCTGTTGACAGCTGCAATCACTCCAGACACTCACAGGAGCATTTGCGCGATGGCACGAGGCCTTCCGATGGTTGCCTAAGCACGCAGCTACAGGGCAAAGGCAGCCAGGATGGGCGCTCTCTTGTGCTGCCCAGAGGCAAACCCGGAGGCGCAAGCCGCTGCCAGGTCCGTCATCGACAAGGCGCTCAATGACAATCGCGTAATGGTGTTCAGCAAGACCTATTGCCCTTACTGCGCACAAGCGAAAGGCACACTGAAGAAAATCCTTGGTGGCGTGGAACTCGGCGTCATGGAGGTGAGCCGGAGTTGAGGCTGACCCGTGGACACTCCCTCTTCAACGGGAGGTTGTGACTGACTGACGTACGTACCCGCCAATGGGACAATAAGGCCCCTTGCAGGCTCAGACCCCTGCTGTGCGATTCCCGTATGTTCGCTCCTGTTACTTTTGCGTAAGCCGATTCTTAGTTGACAGGCTGAGAGGCGATTTGAGCAGTGTCCGAAGGCATTGCGGTACGGCGCAGTTGAAGAACTGCACCTCAGCACGCAGTCGATAGCCATTTGCTGCTGGTGCCGTGCATTGCAATTGGCTGGGAACAGAACAGTGACGAAGAGTGTGTCCATGTTCCAAGCTTACCTGTATTGGCTGAGGAGTAGTCTACCACCACACAAGGCACTCGCTTTTCATAGCAGTTTGGAGACTCTTTGCAAAGGCGTGGAACACCTGCAAATTCAGCCGGCACCGTATGTGCTCCATGCTCAGGAGCGCCCGTCTATATCCTGTTGTAGACGCAATCAATGCTCCTGATACGGGTGTCGCAGTCTGCCTGGCTATGTATTTGTTCATGTCCTCCTGATTGGCGCCAATCTGGACAGATTTTGGCGCCCCACCACCATGGCAGTCTGGGAATCAACGCACAACTAGACTGTAGGAGTACAGACCTCAAACTTGCCTCTACACACTGTCGACTTGCAGATATGTTGCCCTTTGATTTCAGAACTTTAGGCTGTCGTTCTCAATGTTGTGTGCCTCCAGTTTCTTCTTCTGTGGCACCATCCATAATTGCACAGTTTGCATTATCTCAGTTCTTTGTTTGTGCTCTCTGTGACTGTTTGTGCTTTGAGTGCTTGCAGCTGGACCGCCGGGCAGATGGGCAGTTAATTCAAGCCGAGTTGACAACGATTACTGGGGCAGGCACTGTGCCACGTGTGTTCGTTGATGGAGCATGCATCGGGGGTGCCGATCAGACAACGTCGTTGCAGAGATCAGGCCAACTTGAGAGTATGCTGAAATCAAAGAACATCATCTGAAAATCCCCAGCCTACAGAGGACTAGCAAATGGGTAGCTTTGGATGTTCTCTCTGGGTGGTTACGATAATGTACGGCCAAAGATCAAGCTTGTTGTGTATTGGATTGTAGCAAGATTTTCACTCTACCCGCGACTAAATGCTGCACCAGCAGCAGCACCTGACAGTATACATGACACAAATATTGAACGAAATTCCTAAACGCAGCCAAGCTCCCAACTCTGAAAGCTTGACAACACCATGGGCAAGTAATTCCTAACACATCGATGGTGGCTTTTGATTCCTCAAGAGCTGATTGAGCTGCTGTATGGGCGTTTGCGAATGATGAGGATCCCACAAGGTGGATTGGTGGTTCTGAGGAAAGCAGAAGATTGTTCGTGTTTCGTGCGCCCTCGGTAAGTAAAGCTGTGCTCGAACTCGGACACTGTCCATGCGAATACACACCACGTGTCAGGGACACAGCAACGTTTCCCTGTAGCACTCCCGAATGTGCTGCGCCGAAGGCATCGGGGCAGGAAGACACGTTCAGCAATTGTCCAAGAAACGAGTCAGTCCAACCGACCGCAAGATTCAAGGGGTTCGTGGAGCTCAAGGGAACCTCACTCACGGAAAGTTCAAGTTCTTTCGCGCCTGCTCTTGGCATCGCCCGTTGTGCCCAGACGCCCAGCATTGTGGTGAACCATTGGCATGACCCAATTCTCCGCACGCGCCCTGCGCCGTACCCACACAGAGTGTTACAGGCACCGCCATTTGCAATGCCTTGTAATCACAAAACACATGAGACGTGCTGACTAGTTGGGCCAATGCTGCACAAAAAACTGTTCACATCTTGTTCGCGTAACCACATAATGACCACCGTTTCGCGAGGTGGATCAATTATGCTTTATGGCTAGCGATTGCTCTTATTTCAAAGAGCGCATGGTATGGTCCGAGTCGACCGCCACTACGAAAATTACTAAAAGTCTTTTGATACAGCGTCGGCTCTCTTTGTCCTGATTTGGCTCATGGTTGCCTTTTCAATCACAATTACGTTTTCTGAAGACGAGTTTTTCTGGAAAAGCGCTATGCAGCTCCCATGGAAATGACTTAGTTACGGTTTCTTGTCAACACGAAATCTTGTGAGAAAGTTTTGGCTGTGTTGTTCCCACAACTTTACATGCTTCAATTTTCTTGTTTGCAAGTATCTTCAAGGCTCGCAAATGGCCATACAAATGATCCGAGTAATCCGAAATAATGTGTTTGAATGGTGAAATGGTGTTTAAAGGCCGGACTTCTGTTTTTATATGCTTTCCTCATCAATGTATTTTTGTTGGTGGTAGAGACTCCGTGTTCTAGTACCCATATTCCATGCTGATTTCTGTGTTTAAGGACACCTATGGCGCATTTTGCAATTGGCTATGCGCTGAGTGGGAATGTGAATGAGCTGCTGGATGGGAGTTTGTGATGAGGTGGACCCGGGGGTTACAATTAGGCAAGCTGGTGGTTGTCGGACAGGAGAAAGTTGGTTGCGTTTGGTGCCGCCGTTTGGGAAGGAAGGTTATGTTCGAATTTGGAAGCGGACAAGCAAATACGGAAGCCCGAGTTCTACCTTGGAGCCGCCTTGCAAGGCCGCGTGTGAGCGCCGTTTGGGCCGGCGTTGGGTGTGTGGTGTGTCCGCGCTTCCTGTGAGCACTCTGGGGTAGCGTTTTGAGCCATCGTTCCACCGTCTAACCTTAACAATCTGTAGTTAGATTCATCGCACCCAACGGAGACGCGCCTGGCGTTTCAATGATGCTGGTCAGCAGCCTTGCATAGTGTTTGGAAGAGTATGAATAAGTTCTGAAGTTCAGAATCTCAACCCCATGTAATATTTTCAGCATGGCTGCATGGCACTATCTGGTTGCCTGTGCATACGGTGAAATTATTTGTTCGAAACCAGTTTTGGCTTTTCCGGATTGTAAAAACAAAATGCCACTTCCAGCAGACAACCAGATGACAACCCTGAGAGCTTAAAGGACAAGCTCATAAGTCTGGACAATGCCACCCCAAGCAACGTGCCTGCAACGTCAAAAGCACATAACTTTTGTTCTCCCATGCGTGCTTGGGCGGGGTGGCTCCAGGACACAATGCAAAACAGAGACAGCAGTCGCATCTACCAACTACACACACATTAAATGTCCTGTTACTGCAACCTGTTTCGCATATTCAAGGGAGCACAAACCCAGGCGAAGCAACCACTCCCATCCAAGCTGAGTAACAGGGCCTTGTGATCACCATCGACAAGATTGTGCCACCATATCGCCCAGGAATCAGCAATGGCCGAAGTTTCAATAGGCTGTTGCACCACATCCAAGAAAGTAATGTTCAACCTGAGCATCGCAGCCGCACTGCGTACAAGAGCTACCCACTTGCTCTTCACTTGGCTGATTCTCATTTCAAATTTAGAATGGATGTCATGCATTGCCACAAGCTGTGATATGCCAAAGACCGCATATGTGGGGGCCAACCACTTGAATGGACTCATCCATCCTCAGGCAGCGACCCTCCAGCACACGACCTGCTGGTGCAACAAGTACGGTTCAAAATTTTATCAAATCCCCACCCACACTAGTGGCCAACCCCTGCAACACACCCCAACTCTGTTCTACACCGGTCATGACACCCCTCACAAAACTGGTCACAAAACTGTCACAACCCCTTGGAACGTCTCAATACTGGAAAGAAGATGAGCAGCATAAACGAATCTGCAGCTTAGCCGGCCGCTGGACCACCTGGCCAGGATCATCGGCGTCCATGCCTTATCTTAAGGTCCCTCAGCCTTGCTGACACGGTCTTTGGCAGGGAAGGGTCAAGGGGAGGGTGGTCGCTTTCCGCGGGCCCCGGGCGGTGCCTCGGGCCAGAGTTTGGCCCAGCATCTGGCAAGCTGAGAGCGGACAACCCCGTCGGTTCGGTGTCTTCCACCTCCAAGGGACAGCTCGCACGAAGCCAATGAGGGAACATCTCGTAGCACTCGTTTGTGGTTCTCATGGCGTGGCTCTCTGTGGCAGCGAGGACCGCATCTTCGGGCTCCGGCAGGTGTCTGAGACCTGTACCCGGTGCGTCCTCCCCAGGGAACGTCACAGTGCTCAAGAACAGAGAGTTGTCTAGATTGGTCCATCCTGGTACAGAGCACACGGAACAGCCTTAAGACGGTCCCTTCTCAAGATCGTGGACGGGGGAAGGGGGGACGAAGGGATACGCGAAAGTGGGAAAAGAATAGCAAATGAATTCGAACCCCTTAAGGCATGGGGCCGTGCCGTTGTAAGTCGCGCATTGAATGGACACGCCTTGTCCGTACCTCTGTCCAGCTCCACTGCCTTGCCGTCCTTCCAGCACACCGCGCGCCCAATCTGTTGAGCGGACCTTGGCGTGACGTCAGGACGAGGAGCTCCGCAAGGAACGCGCAGCACGGCCGCCACCTTGTCACCTGCAGATGAGCAGCACCAGTTGCGCTCGCAATTGTCCCCAGCCAGCACAAGCCCACCGATGAGGAGGGGGAGAAGAAGAATGCCGATGCTGCAGGTGCAGCGCCGGACTGCAACCTATCCTGGTTGCGCTGGAAGTATCGGCTGACCCCCCAGCCCCTTATAAATTGGAAGAACTCCAACACGCCGACGTTCTGGAATCGCCAGAGACTCTCGTGTCATGCCACCACACATTCCGATTTCCACGACTTGACGCGATGTCGCCGGGCTGCGCCACGTAGGCTGCTTTTAAGCTAAGTCCTATCCGTTAGGTAGCAGACGCAGAAGTGGGCGCCGCGAACGCAGGGCGCACCTCCCAGCATGGCTCTCTCGACGCAGCAAGGCGGTCAGACCGAGGCACAGTGCACTGTTGAAGGGCGCTCGGTCACAGAACCAGCGCAAACAAGTCGGTTGCCCCTCGATAGCACGCCTGCCGCACGGCCTGTCTGGTCCGCACTGGCAAGGCAGAGCAGCCCTGCAAGTTTGCGTGCCGGGCGCAGAGACCAGAGGGAAAGGGGTTTTGGCTTGGGGCTCACGCGAACGATGGCATGGTACCTGAGGGGCAGATGGTACGAACTGTCCCAGTCAGAGCTGAAGAGTCCCTTACGTGGCGATGCGTCACCGCTGGCTTCATTGTCGCACCGTTGGCGAGGGTGCATATGAACATAATGAACACCGTTACCCAGGGTGTTGTTCAGATTACTGGTGGTAGACCGTCAGCTTCCTGAGAAGCACTAATGAAGCTGGCTCCATCACGTGCTGCTGATACTATCAAATGCCGCTGATACTAACAGGAGGCCCATTGAGCTGGTATAAGCCATCAAGAAAAGAGAAATTAAGAAAGGAAAGGGAAAATAAAGAGTAGAGTGCAAAAGGTGGCCGTCTGACATGGCAGCCACCCGGGCGAAAATCCACAAAGCGCCAAGCCTTCGCCTGTCCTGCCTTCTGGCTCAATAGGATTTGAGTCGAAGGAGACGAATCTGGGGGACGTACAGCTCCCCTGCAAACACGTTGCCACATATTCCGCCACGGAAAATCCGACTCAAACGGGCCTCCGGGCCTTGCGCGTCCGGGCTCGCACAGAGATCCGGGCTTTGGGTGAGAAACACGCGGAAGGCCGCTTCGGTTCTCACATAATCGCTTGGAAACCCATGCACTCGAACGGCGATATTGCAATGGGCGCGCTCTGCCGAAATTCGAGCGCAAGAGTCCTCAAACTCTTGGCTGTGAAGCCGATTTGGTCAGGCTGCGCACCACGGCCTGTGTGCATGGGTCGCGCACATAGAGACTGTCAACTGAGTCTTACAACTTCACGGACTATGGTCCGTCCCGTTTAGCCCCTCCGACTCTGGGCACAGCAGCATGCGGCCTGCGACCCGCACACAGCACGGCAGCCACTCCCCAAACACCCTAGCCACGTCAGAATGAGCAGTACAATCCAATCTTATACAATTTCTATCAGGTCACGTCCAAATATGGCAGTTCACATCATTCTCATTCTCCTTGCGCCTCATACTCTACTATTTATATCACATCTGAGCGTGCTTCCGCAAACCTCACATCATGATGTCACAGCATGATCATGCTCTTCTAATCTTCACATGACCCCCTTGTGACGCTCAGGTGGACATCACTTCACTCCTTCGTCACCCTTCCAGCACACGCGCAGCATCAGAATCGAATCTGTGCCGCGACCTGAAAGATTCGCAGGAATATTCGCTCACACCTACGGCTCTGCCTGCTTTTCCTGCACTACAATGTACTGCTCACAAACAATGCTGTGACGTCACAGCCACGCCACAAATCATCCCCGTGATATTTATTGATTGAAATAAAAGACTGATACACCCACCCAGCGCATCAGCAACAAAAGTCCATGATTTGCATCATATATTGCATCACCCTTGCACAATACGCAACTCATCCTACATGACAAAATGGCTCAACAACCGTCCACCTCTTGGCACATTGATTTCAATGATACAACTGCCATCATGGCTGTGAGGGCGGCGAATATACAACGGATAATTATAAGGTGAATGGTGTTAAATACGGTGTAATTTGTCATTGTGAACATGGTGATAAAACATGGTGAATGTGGGAATAGTGGGTGACTGAATGGGGACATTTCTTGCGAACACTATATAGTTGATGTGGTCGTCTTGTAATGCATCTGCTTGCGGTATCGCTTCCCGTGCCTGAGGAGCGACCGTGTGCGAGCGTGCGTGAGGGCGTACGGTTAACCCGATATGGTTTCGGAGCCGGGGACGGACCCTGGGGGTCCGGGTATCCGGGGGCGGCGTGGGAGACGCC